CATCGGTGAAAATTCAAGCATGAGGCTCTTGCACGTGGGAGCACCATTAGACTTGACTATGTTTCGAACGATCGCACCATCAAAGATGTCATTCATGCAGCCATGTTCCTCATCCGTGTCATCATTTTTATCGCTGTCATCGACTGTGGGATATTCGAGCATCTCTCTCACTTCCACGTCGTACAGCAGTAGTGCCAGCTGTTCAGCGATCGATAAGTATGTTGCTTGCTGAGCCGGTTTACCGTCAACCCAACGTGGTGTCCCATTGTTCTTATCACACAATGTACATTCTTCGGCATCATCATTTGGACCAAATAGCTTGCATCCATTGCAACACATGTCATAGCTTTTGGATGTAACAGGGTAAGTATCACCAGCAAGCTTTTCGTTGAGGTAAGCCGACAGCAAAGTTGGTGCTTGGGGTGCATGTTGCTGCATGTAATTGTTGACCATTTTAATCACCTCGTCGAAAGGGTCTCTTGATAAACCTCTCCTGGTTAAGAGTGCATGAAGCTCCAAGCTAAATTTTGTGCTGTCATCGATTTGAGCACTGCGCATGTTAAAGTCAACCACCATGGGCTGTTGATCGTTGACATTTGCAAATGAAGGATTTGGCGATCGCGTATCAACAATATCTTCAGCATCAAAGCTAGTTATCTCATCCATATCTTCATTCACATCACCACGTGGAGAGAGTGAGCTTGCATGGCGTGAATGGTGGTCTTGATCAATTTCCATTATGCTGATACTTTGCTGGCACTAATATTACGATGTCAATTAATATCAGCAATCCAAATATAAGAGAGCTTGGTGAATTACCTTTCGTCGATGTATTGCTGCAGGTGAATGTAAGTAGCCTTGATTGGATGATAATGGTAGATCCCCCGTCTAAAGCCGATAATTACAAGTGTCAACGTTATACGCAGTCGACATACATGTTCATGTGGGCATACCTCCAAAAGACTCATAATTGAATTTCTGGACCTATGTCGCTTGACAGGACGGCGATGCTGATGCTTATTCTTTGAGCAACGATTCAAATGCTTAATGATAGCTGATCGCTTCTTCCATCGATTGCAGTCAGAGCATTTGGTGTACTTCGTTTTATGATTGGTCATTGTTGTTGTTGTCAAATAATGAGCACTTAAAGATGTAGCAGTGAAAGGGCTTTTCTGATTTCTATGTGCTAATTCCAAGATAACATAAATTCTTAACGTTTGCTTGTACTGGTGGTGCCACATAGTCATTGAGGCACTGCACAGAGCCCTCACGAAGTGTGTTTATTTTCAACAATAGGCATACTGCAGCTATTCAGACAATGCCTTGTAACATAGGCAACACTGGCTGTGCGAGAGTTTTGAGCCCCGACTCCTACCTTCATCGCCAATACACAAGCAAAGCAAAAGTAGAGTCATTTAGATATCCGAAAAAACTTGTTTACTTGTAAACTTTGACTAAATTGAAAATGAAAAGCTATCCCGTCGCCAGATAGATGTATTTAGATCTGTTATAGTTGTTATGGGATCGAATGGAGTTGTTCAGACAACGTTTTCGTATGGTGTACTGCGAGTTACTATTTATTTCCTTCACGATGTACACTTGGTGGAACACAATAATCTTTTTTGTGTAACCTTATGAAGGATGGCGGTTACACACGCTCAACCATGTCTTTTCAATTTTTCCTCTCCCCAGCCAAAACACCCCGAAATTTGACCCGTTATCACTACTTTTTCTCATAACTGTGATATTATGGATATTGAATAATAAAAGGATGAATATTTTCCCTTAAGGAACACATGAGAATGACCTAGAAGTGACTGAAACCGATTAAGTAACTAAAGGAACACCTCGAATCAAGTGAAACATCCGACTAGCGTAGCTGTCATATAACCATTGGTTCTTGTCGTGGATCCTTCTTGAAGATTAGTCATATCAAAGATCTCGTAAAACTATAAATAAGGATAGAGCGATAAGAATAAAGAGGAAGGATCTTTCAGTCTCAACGTACTTTTCATTGTTATCCATTTTCTATTACCAAACATCACATTTTTTACGTTGAATTCTGCATCTCTATCTACCAACATGTCTTCAAGCGAACAAACCAAGACCCAAGATGTCACTATGACCGAGGCTCAACCTCAACCTCAAGAACAAAAACAAGCCAAGAGCAAACAAGGGCTCGAAAAAGTCATCAAGCATTACAAGGACAAGCTTGACACCCTGGTAGCCGAATTCAGCGAGGTGATGGAGTCTGCAAGCACTGAGCAAATTCAGCTGCGCCAAGCTGACATTGCCAATACGCAGAAGGCTCTAGATGCATTCCGCTATACCTATGAGCGGGAATACGGTGAAAAACCGAAACCTGCTAAAAGGGAAAAGGATGCTAAAAAGACCAAGGAAGGTGGCAATACCACTACTAAGGTCTCTGATAGAATGTCCGCTAAGGAAGTGCCATTGTTCCAGATTGCTGGTTTCACTGTGTTCGATAACAGCAAGGAGGTATACCCAACTGCTGAGCACTTTTTGAACCGCTTCGAGAAGATCTTGAATGCCAACACCATTGGTTGTAACAAGACTTGGAAAAGATGGCTACCTTTGGCAGTGCCCCATGACTTGGATCATTGGTTCAAGGAAAAGGTTTTTGCTCGCAAGGGCATGACTTGGGACCGGGCATGTAAAATCATTCTCAAACGCTTTACTGCTGCGGATCAGCAAATGCACAAGGCTAAGGAAGCGTACACCATGGTGCAATTACCTGCCAAGTCAGTTGCTGATTATGGAATACGTTTCATGAATGCTGCTAGAGAGGGTGGTCTCGAAGACAACCATAATTTGGCTATTCGTTTCCTCACTTCTTTGCAAGATAGGATTCAAGAAAACGTTCAGGTGGCATGGATTGGTAAACGAGGCAGTCATAGGCCCAAACGGGTTAGTGAAATCCTCAAAGTGGCCAATTCATTGACCATTTACAAGCGTAAGCGTGAGGGGGAGCCGCAATCCAATGCTAGTAATAAGAAGTATTGGTGCCCTCATCATAAGCAGTACGTTAAGCATAAGCCTGCTGACTGCAACCAAGCGGTCAAGTCCAAGCCCAAGGGCAACAAGGCTAAAAGCAAGGCTGAGTCTTTGTGTGAAGATGGGCTTTGCATTTATTGTGGCAAGGAATGGGATCCTGATCATCGTTGTGACGAATACCGCGAGGCTAAAAAGAAAAAGCGGGAAGCCAAACGACAAGAAAGGAAGCTCAATGCCCTTGCTGCTACTGCTGCTACTACTGCTGCCGCCGATAATACAAGCAACTCAGCCGATCCTGAGCCTGCTGCCGATAAGATGGAATCCACCGATATGGATGAAGTCTCTCACCCTGCCGATGATGCCATGGAAGATGTTTTGAGTGACATCGAAAATATCGAGGACATCCTCATTCAGTCTTCTGGTAAGTGTTTAGGCAATATTAGTTCAAACAAAAGATCACATGTACTCATTAATTCTCCCATTCTTATACAGAATAAGCGATACTGGGCCTTAGTAGATTCAGGAGCTGAAATTTCTGTTGTTAATAAAAGATTGTGTCATGATAATAATTGGACTATTCAATCTATTGATGGGAACATATTGTATCCGGGTACAGCTGATCGATGTGCACGTATTGGTATAACCGAGCCATTGCACATTAGCTATAATGGTCATAAGACTACATTTGCCTTTGAAGTGATGGATCTTGATAAAGAGGATGTCATCATTGGAGCGGATTTGATGCCGCATATTGGACTTGCAATTACAGGTTTAGCTGTCCGCTGGGATGATGAAGAAGATTCTAGTGAAAACGAGAAGCCTGATTCAGACACTCCAAATGACGCACCTGCAGGTTCTGATGATGAACGTAAAGCTTTCTTTAATGGGATTAACAAGTTCCTTGAAGCTAATGCCAACATCTTGTCCACCACGTTTTGTAATATTCCTGAATCAATTGTGGAGTTGCCCACGCCCGATGGTGTCACTTCGTATCACCGCCAATATCCTATACCGTTTAAGCTGAGAGCAGTTATTGATGCTGCTGTCGAAAAATGGCTAAAGGATGGTGTCATTGTTAAAGCTCCAGTCAACACGTCTTGGAATAGTCCTTTGACATTGGCTGATAAGAAGGATGCATACGGCGATAAAACGGGCAAAAGACCATGCCTTGATCCCCGTCATATAAACCGTTACCTGCCTGATGATCGATATCCATTGCCGCTCATTCGTGAAATCTTTCAAGATTTGGGTGGAGCAAAGGTATTCACTACTCTTGACTTGACGAACGCCTTTCACCGCTTTAAGATAAAAGAGGATGATCAGCATAAAACCACGTTCACTCACAATGGTCAACAATACATGTTCCAAGGGTGTCCATTTGGTTTAAAGCCAATCTCTTCTAAGTTTCAGCGGGTCATGCATATCATTTTTAAAGACATGCCATTCGTGCGTACGTTTGTCGATGATATAGTGATCTTTTCCTCCGATATGGATACACATCGTGAACACGTGCAACAAGCTATACATGCGTTGACAGCTGCAAACCTTATTATTAATCCAAACAAATGCCACTTTGCCCAAAAGAGCATATACCTACTAGGCTTTTGCATCAGTCACAATGGTATTAAACTCGATCCTCGTAAGGTCTCAAATGCCTTGACGTGGCCTATACCACAATGTGGCAAGGACATTCAAAGGTTCATGGGCATCGTTAACTACTTTAGGAGTCACATCCCTAATGTATCCCAAACAAGCTCTCCCCTTGAAGCTCTACGTGAAAAAGGGTCCTTGAGAGGTTACTGGACTCGTGACCATACGTTGCGCTTTAATAACCTGAAAGAAGCCTTAGCTGCTAATGTCCCCTTGAAGTATCCCGATTTGAATGAGCCTTTTTATGTCGCCACAGATGCCTCTAATTATGGCATTGGAGCGGTTCTCTTTCAAATGAAGGATAACAAGGCACAATACGTTGGCTTCATGGCACGCTCACTAAGCAAATCTGAGCGCAACTACTCAACAACAAAGAGGGAGTTACTTGCTGTTATTTATGCTCTCGACAAATTCCATCAATTTCTTTGGGAAATCCGTTTACTCTTTATACGGATCATAAAGCCCTCACGTATCTTCATACTCAAAAGATTGCCAATCCAATGATGTTCAATTGGTTCGATACCATCCTTAGCTACTCTTTCAAAGTGGTGCATCTCCCCGGTCTTAAGAATGTACTTCCTGATCGACTCTCTCGCTTGTTCACCCCAAGTGCACAGCTGGAGGGGGTAAAGTTGCCCACTCAAATAAACGAATTGCTGCTATCAAAAGCAGAAGAAGAAGAAAGCAGCTCATTACTGCACCTTCACCCAAAACCCCAACCGATACATTGACTCCAACCACAGATGCCGACAAACAAAGTGATCTTGAAGATGCTCACTACCAAGTTGGTCATGCTGGGGCGGAACACATTGTCAGGTACTTGCAACACACAAAAGGCGTACATTGGAATTCCATACTCCAGGATGCCGTTGAACTAGTAAAACGTTGTCCACAATGCCAAAAGTATAATATTGCAAAGAAGGGGTATAATCCTCTACGACCAATCTATGCTTACATACCAGGCGACCATTGGGCTGTTGACTTGGCTACATTCAATCAGACAACGCATTCTGGCAACAACTACTTACTTGTAATGGTAGACGTATATACGAGATTCTGCATCCTACGCGCCTTGCCTAACAAGAAATCTGATACATTGGTTCATGCCTTCACGCAAATCTTTTGTGATTTCGGCTTACCTAAAGTCATCCAATCTGACAACGGGGCTGAATTCAAGAATCACCTCATGAAGAAGCTTGTCGATAGCTTAGGAATTGAGCATAGGCTCACAACGCCTTATCATCCTCGAGCAAATGGCATAGCCGAACGTTGGGTGCAATCATCAACTCAAATCATCCGTAAAAGGATCGAAGGCTCTGGAAAAGACTGGGACTACTATGTTCCTAGCACACAGTTAGCACTCAATATGCGCGTTTCCAAACGACTGCAGTGCCCACCTTTTTCCTTAATGTTCGCACGTAACGTCAATGAGTTTCGCGATTACCGACAAGAGGACTCCACAAATGTCAAGCCGATGTCGTATGAGCAATTGGTTGAGCGTATCGAGCATATGCAAAAGGTCGTGTTTCCAGCACTCAAAGAAAGAACCATGTTGTATATAAACTTGCAAAAGAAAAAGTTTGACAAAAAGCACCGCCTCATTGATTTCCCTGAGCAAAGTCACGTCATGGCACGGGTACAAACACGTGGTAGCAAACTCGCACCTGTATACGAGGGGCCCTACACAGTCTTGCGCAAGACGCAAGGTGGCTCTTACATCTTGCAGGATGAAACGGGTTCATTAATGCCTCGAGATTATGCACCATCAGAATTAAAGCTCATCTCTCAAGATGAAGTTATACCCGCTGATGAATTATACGAGGTACAAGCCATCATCAATCATCGTGGCAAACCGAACAAACGTGAGTATCTTGTACGCTGGAAGGGTTATGGCCCTGAAGATGATACTTGGCTTACACCCGATAAGTTCACCGACCCTGATTTCATCATGCAGTATTGGAATAGGCTGGGTCAAAAAGATGATCAAAGTCAGCATCATGCCGATAATACATCTTCAAAGCGTAAAGCCACAGGCAACCATACTACCACTCGACGTAGCAAACGCCTTAGAAAGTAATCAACTTAAATGTTGTATACATAAACGTGCAGGCAATGTCTTTTCCCTTATTTTTTCCCACTGGGTTTTTGCACGGGTTTTTATGACGGCGCCATTCATGCACATCCATCTTCAATTAGTGTTACCCACATCCATTTCATGTTGCTCACAATACATTCCACAATACATCCTACACCATACCACCACTAATCCTTCCCACGTTTGTTCCAAACTGGAGGGGGGTAATGTGATATTATGGATATTGAATAATAAAAGGATGAATGTTTTCCCTT